CAAAGGTGTGGATGGAAGTTAATGACGAGGAATTTATGCGGGTGAATTAAATTCATTTACCTAGATTTATCTAGACATGCACAGAGCAAAAGTACTGAGATAGTAAACATTCCAACTAGTAGTTTTAGAATTCCAAATTTCTCAGAATTTATCAAATTAACATTATAAAACATATAATTATAGAACGCATGTTATTGTTCCCCGTTTACCACCCAGAGGTTCATAGTTTCTAGTCTTTGTGAGATATATCCCTGGAATGTTCACTCTCCCAGCTTAGGTAACTATATTGATGAATGGCTTCAAGGGACAAGCCATGATGTTTCACAGTGAAGCTGATGTAAGGGAAGGCTCATGCTTCCTATTGTCTTGACTAATCCTCCGTCATAGTTAAACACAAATCAGCTGACATATTAGCTGGTCGGTTACCATGTTCAAGAGATTTGCTGTTTATTTTGGCAATCACACAGATGGCTCACCTGCCATGATATTACTGGAATACTGCGGTGTACTCACACATTCACAGATGGCTCTGACGAGCCTGTTTCATGTTCTCAACTGCATCCCTAAGGCACACAGGAAGATGTTATGAGGGGTTTTGATCCCAGCTAACACTTTGTTTCTAGGGTTTCAACACCATAACCATGACAATCATACCTGTTTACTTGTGGATTGGGAATAACAAATATGGTCTCTTTAAATCAAACTGAACAAAATATGGATTAAGAAAATAATATAAGTTAACTCTTATGTCATGAATTAAAATCACTTCCAATTAGAAGCCAAATTTAGTAGTTTATGTTGCTCCAGCACAGACAAGACTTGTATTGTCGAAGTGGTATAGATTGTCTTCTGTCATCCAAAACGTTGTGTTCTTCATAATAAAGAAGTTGACATCCATAAAACTCTCTTTGTATGCTTACTATAGGTTGCACCATCTTTGAAACGTCAAATGACAGAAATAGACCTGTTACATTTGGAGTAACACCTATCAAGCACATGTTCAGAATGGCCAAACGGAAGGCTGATGACTAGTTGATTGTTGCAACTGAGGCAACTGCAACTGCTTGTTAATTCAACACAACAGTGCAAGGAAATATTCTGAGATCTGTGCCTATTACTGCCTCAAAATGGGACAATCTTTGTTTCATTGTAACAAGTGTGTTCAACTTTACCTGCTTGCTTGCTGGTCAAAATGACTTGTGACTAATAGCTGAAACTACTGACAGACTCTTCACAAATGTCTGGTCTGGGAGTGGGAGTTTATGGAGGACAGGATTGTTTACCCATGCTGGTGGCTTTTGCTGATGTGGTGAATGTCACCTTGCTGACGTGGTGAATGTCACTTTGCTGATGTGGTGAATGTCACTTTGCTGACGTGGTGAATGTCACTTTGCTGACGTGGTGAATGTCACTTTGCTGACGTGGTGAATGTCACTTTGCTGACGTGGTGAATGTCACTTTGCTGATGTGGTGAATGTCACTTTGCTGACGTGGTGAATGTCATTTTGCTGACGTGGTGAATGTCACTTTGCTAATGTGGTGAATGTCACTTTGCTAATGTGTTGAATGTCACTTTGCTGATGTGGTGAATGTCACTTTGCTAATGTGGTGAATGTCACTTTGCTGATGTGGTGAATGTCACTTTGCTGATGTGGTGAATGTCATTTTGCTGATGTTGTGAATGTCACTTTGCTGATGTAGTGAATGTCACTTTGCTGATGTGGCGAATGTCATTTTGCTGATGTGGTGAATGTCACTTTGCTGACGTGGTGAATGTCACTTTGCTGATGTGGTGAATGTCACTTTGCCGATGTGGTGAATGTCACTTTGCTAATGTGGTGAATGTCATTTTGCTGATGTGGTGAATGTCACTTTGCTGACGTGGTGAATGTCACTTTGCTGATGTGGTGAATGTCACATTGCCGATGTGGTGAATGTCACTTTGCTAAATGTGGTGAATGTCATTTTGCTTATTTTGAGCAATTTCCCCTTACTAAGGGAGCTGAGGAAGTCAGAACGGGGCAAGGGTGGATCAGGGATCAAAGTCACCACAATTTGCTGCAAAGAGTTGCGTCTCTTAGTTGTGGTATGATCTACCATTTGCCAGACTACAATCCTTTCACAATCAGTATAATATTCATGCCTGAGGGTGTTGTTTTGAGTAATAAATATGATTAGTAAAACTTGGAACCTTTCATGTTATTCTGATATTTTGTGATGTAATGAAATCTAACTGGAGTTGAAACACTTCTAACATTCCTGAGTCAGGTTCTCATAGTGCAAGTAATGATTGTAGTCGGACTTGTAACTTCCATACATGGTGATAACTGACAGCTAAGTGTTTACCTGTCTGTACCATCTTGTTTCCATGCTGTCATGGAGGCTGTGCTGTCATTGGCTGCAGATATCACACGGCAGGAACTGTGATTGGGTGACACTGTGAGAAAAGGTCTCAGATAATGGTTCTGCTTCATAACCCTGGCTGTAGTGACTGGTACTTGCTGCAACTCACCAGTGATAAGTTGGCTGGACTTTGTACATATTATCCCAACAATCTGTAGGATTAGCCAATGTATACACTTACCGTACTGACCGATCATGAGGCCCATGTGTTTGTTGATTTGTAGAGGTAGAGTTAATCAGGTACTCAACCCAGAACTAGCTGGGCCACCATCCTCACCACAACTTCCTTTGAGTAGCATATTTCTACATATTCCAGAAGAAGGTGTATTGGATTTAGCTGACCAGAATCTGTTGTCTCTGTTGGTGGTGTTACAATTCCCTTGAATATTCTTTGAAGTGATCATTATTAGCGCCTGAATTGTGTTTGCTATTTGTGACATTTGAACCAAAGATTTTCCATTTTTTACCAAAACATGTAACAAAAATTCCTTGAATAAAAGCCCTCAAAGACAACAGTACAAGGGAAATATTTCATATAACACATGATCAGGATTTATTGATATTTTCTCTTTTGAAGAACTAGACATTCAGTTACATTACGCCTAAAATATAGACAGAAGAGGATATCAATTTAATGATCGGGAAAAAATCAGTGTCCTTGATGATATGGAACCCTTAAAATGTTGAACCTATGTAGATCTGTTTTAACTTCAGAACACTCACACAGGATAAACATTTCAGATAGATTTCAGGCTGTATGGCCAGTAAATGTTCATCAGCTTCATCCAGTCCATACTTTCATGTCCAGTAATGGAATAAAGATTGTGTGGAGATTGTACGGTAGATGACACAAGGTATTGGGAAAGCTGTGAATTATTATGATTAACAATGCAGTGTAATATCAACATGTGCATGAGCAAGCTCTCCGACCCAGTTGTAAGGTGATACGGGGACGTGATACGGTCTGATATCACATAGTTGTACCACTCCCCCCTCTCTCTCTCCAGTCAAAGGTTGATTACATGTCACGAGATAAAAACACAGACTGGTACTATCTTCCGTACCACTGTGATCCTGAACCAGCCAGGTTGCTCGTCTCCGCCGTCCCTCCGCTACCTCTACTGACACAAGGTATATAAGAAAGCCATGTTTCCCCATTCATCAGAACCAGTGTTGTCCTTGTCAGTGTACACAACTCACAACGTGGAATACTGTAACCAGCTTGTAGTGGTTGTTGTCGCAACATTGGTTTCACAGTTTCATTGTAGTTCATCTTTGTATATTTGTTTACATTTGGATCTGATTATTGTTATTTTGTTACAATATGGCTGCTGTTATTCCTGCGATCCCAGCACCACCAAAACAGGTAATGGCCGAATTTCAATGTTTCATATTCTGTACGTGACGCAGATGTTCCAGATTCAGATGTTCCAGATTCATCTCACGCTGTGTTGTCGTGGTGGCCAACCCATGTTATAGTAGTAGAATGACGAGCAATCACATAGTTTGGGTTTGAAACCAGTTTATGGTGTCACCCCACCATCATATGGCTGAAATATTGTTAAAACCTGCAAGGATTCTCATTTTGAATTTTAGCTGGAAAATTTGTAGGTTGTAAGGGGTGATATTGAACGGGTGGAAAATCTAGCTGATGACATATCAGTGCATCTTGACAACATGGATTGTTTCTGACATTATCAGTCACATGATTGTTTGGTTCATGCTTGATTATATTGATCTCGCCTTCTTATAGCAGGAGTGGGGCATTGAACAACAAACAGCCCAAGTTCAGTTGAGCCTGTTTTAATGACATTGCTTCTTTCCACAGAACACGAGTGACAGTTGTCACAACTCTGATCTTCTGAAACAGGTGTTTGTACTGTGTGTCCTAATGACTTTTCACCGCCTCCGTGGTGTAGTGGTTAGAGCATCCGCCTGGAGAGCAGAAGGTCGCGGGTTCGATCCCCGACCGCGTCATACCAAAAGACGTTAAAATATGGTACTTGTTTGGCCCCTGCCTGGTGCTTGGCATTAATAGGTACAACAAGGACTGGTTGGCTCGGAGTCAGTATAATGTGTCTGAGTGGGGTATTCATGCTTCACTGCGGCATGGTATCTCAGTGGGCTTGCACTATAAAACCAGCTTCAGTCTGGGCTAGTACAAGCAGGCGCACATACACATACACACGCATGCACGTCGTCATATGAGCGAAATATTCTCAAGCACGAAGTTTAACCCACTTTCACCTCACCTCACCTCACCTCACCTCACCTCACCTCACCTCACCTCACCTCACATGACTTTTCACAGGTCTTTGACTTTACGTTGTGTCAAGCCATTATGTTGCAACTAACTGACTTGATGTCATCTTCTAAAGGCCCTAGTGAATCTTGACATGACATGTTTATGTTTCTATTGGGTTTATAAGTGTGTCATGAAACATTTGCTAATAATTCACATGATGTTGACATTCTAGAAAACATTGTGACATTCAGTGCTGCTTTATCTGGGAACTGTTTACTGAGTATGTCATTCTTCTCCCAGATCCTGATTGAATCTTGGATGATGTTCTAGCTGATATGTTCATCTTTTCCAGCTTTGTCGGAAAGTATTTCTTGGTCTGTACGATAGCCGATCGTGGCCAGAGCCGGACTCCAGAGACGAACAAAGGGTACGAGATTTTATGGTTCAGAAGTACGAGAACAAACGTTGGTATGTAGCTCCTACAGAGTCCATGAAAGAGGAAGCCCGCCGCATGAACGAAGTGTCAGCCAGTAAACAACCAGCCCAGAAACCACTACGATCTTTACTTGGGGAGAACGCCACAAAACTTGTCGTCCAGAACAACCAGGTGAGCCTCTTCTGTATTTGGGTTTGTGTTGTCTGTTGCCATGGTTTCTGTTATGGTTGAATTGTTGCTGACAGTACCAATCACTAGATTGTCTAGTCCAAACTGGATTAATGTAAAGGTTGCCAGCAACATTGTTGAGTTTGGCAGTGAATGACAAACACCTGTCTCAAATATATGATACATCCCTGTGACTACCCTTAGAGAAGGTATGGAGGTTGTGCTTCTTTATGGATATTTGGACTGACATGATGTAAGGTGGGCTTTGGTAGTGAGGCAGGTTTTATTCGTCAGAATGTTTTAATTATGTCTGACTTGCTGTTATTCTCATGAGTGTGACATGTTAAGACAATGCTTGACATGCAAATGATGTCATTCTATCCTGGCACAATGTGTAAGTAATTTACATTTCAGCAGCGGTAGGAACGTAGCATGTGTAATATGATACTTGTCCGGAGTATCACATCCTATTAGGGTTGTCTCCCTTGAACCATTAGTTGGCAGTTTATGTTCATTATCTGAGGACTGCTGGTTGAGGTCACCTAGACAAAGACTGACACTTTGTATTAAGCAGGTTCAAAGTTAAAACGTGGACTACTCAGGCCTTAACCTGTTTGTGTTTGTTGTGACGCCTTTGTACAGTGCTCAATCAACTTAGGAATGAACTTGCTTGTACAGACAAATGTAGGTGTTTTTTGTGTGCAAACATATGATGTTTTGCCTTGAGTGGACAGTTTTAAAGTTTGGTTTAATACAAATTACAGAATTTTGAAAGATTTCATTGTCATTGTAATCATTAGGTGAAGAGTTTGTAGAGAGATCTCATTGTTGTATGTTGTTATTCTGTCGCGAAGATCACTCTAGTACATTGTAGAGTTGTATGTGTACAGGATGATGTTTGTGTTCAGCATAAGGAGAGTCAGTTGCATTAATCTGTACGTTGTCTTTTTCCAGTCTCCCCAGATGAATCGCACAGCACCCGCCAACCCTGGGCCTATTTCAGCGCCCCCTGGTGCACCACAGCCAGTCCAGGCTCCACAGCCTCCAACATCGGTGGCCCAGCCCAAGCCACAGCCACAACAAGGGTCAGGATTTGACCTGCTGGGGGACCTGGGAGGGGATCCATTTGCCAGCACCCCTCCAGCTTCTTCGGGAGGTGAGGGAGTCGGACATGGCCCAGTGAGGGAGCCAGACACAGCCCAGCTTTGTTGCAGGGTTCTTGTGTGTTTTTTTTCAATTTCCATCAAACACAACAAGGTTTAGTTTAGCAGAGGAATCTTAACTCTGACAGACACCTAGCACAACGACAATCATGACTCCATGCTTTAACATAGTACATACCGGTAGGTAACTTTCATGACTGGAACCAGGTCAAAATTTCTTGTCAGGTCGAAAGTTCTTCTGGTCTTTGCCAAGGGCAGGTAAGTGTAATTATTTCAGTCAGATACATTTACTTGATACTTGCACGGTTGTACCACAGACAGGACATGGTAGGAATGGCATGAGGTATGTACTGCCGCTGTATGGCATGGTATGATGTTGCTATATCAGGGAGACTGTAGGTGTCTCAGTGAAGTCTATAGGGACCTGTATATCTGTAAGATGATTAACTAGTGCCATCTGTGAACATATGGTTCAGTCCTCTGTTGTTGTTCCTATAAATGTCCAACAAAGTTGCATTCTTTACTTGATTGACTTTCAGGTGGCGGCTTTGCAGACTTTTCCAACTTTGGAAGTCAGCCGACTCCAGCAGCCCAGGCCCCTCCTCCCTCAGCATTTCCTATGTCTAGTGGTGAGCATAGTTAGTCAAATGTCTTTGAAATGGGTATTTGGCGTGATGAGCGACCGCTTTAAACCAAACACACACACACGCACGCACGCACGCACGCACGCACGCACACACACACACGACAGCTTTGAACACAGTCCTCAGTTCCTACACTGAATCATCTGGTTTGTTCAATCTCTTGGGCTGTAGGGATAGCCTAGTGATTATAATGTTCTCTTGGGCTGTAGGGATAGCCTAGTGATTATAATGTTCTCTTGACATGCAGTAGTCTCGGGTTTGATTCCCCACATGGGTACAGTGTGTGAAGCCCATTTCTGGCGTCCCTTTCTGGTTATCTTGCTGAAATATTAAACTAAACTAAACACACTCACTACCTTGTTCATTGTTTAACTTGCAACATTCCAGCTATATCACAGCTCCCAGAAGAGCCGAATATTTGTGGAAGGGGTTGAAATCGTTTTGCGTAATATTGAGAATAGCAGATATTCCAACTGTAAACAGAAGTGACAGAACTAAGATCTAGATGGAGCAAGATACTATAAAAGAAATGGGAGTGCCACGCCTACTTTTTCACATTGTTGTCTGAAATTTGTTTATTATTGTTCATCTGTATTACAGCTCCTCTTCAGCCATTGGGCAGTTCGCCAGCAACTGCAACAGCACCTACAGCACCATCAGCTCCACCCACACAAACACCCCCCAACACCGGCGGCGGTGGAGGTGGTGGTGACAAGTATGCAGCTCTTGCCGATCTAGACAGCGTGTTTGGTACAGCCACTACCACTGCAGCACCTGTGAACCCTCCTGCCGGGGGTAACGTGGAGTGGGGGGGCACTACGGTCGCAGGGTCAGGGTCAGCACTCAACTGGGGAGGTCAAGCAACCAGCGTAGGGGGTGGTAATATCAACTGGAATGGCACAACCAGCAGCAGTAGTGGGAGTGCACCTGCTGGGTGGAACAGCCAACCTCAGCCAACCGCTGCCAACAGCACAAGCGGTATCTTCAGCAATACAAGTTCCACAACAGGTGAGGCTCATCCTATCCTAACAGAACTCATCTCTCTCGTACTAGTCTCTTGTTCAATGACCAAACACTGCCACAGGTTATACATATAGATGCAGTATATCCTCCATGGTAGCAGGTTGCAATGAATTGGTCAAGACTGCTTCCCACAGTTCTATAAACTGCATTATTTGAACATCGTCTTATGAGTAACATTGCAGATTTTCCATAACTCTTTGAAAGAGCATCTCCTGAAACTATATCCTCTGTTTACTTCTCCTTTACTGCTGCTGAACAGGTAAAACTTGTGATGTTGTCACGTTACTATTCTCTATCAACTTTACAGTATTATTCTAGCTGTTGATTCTTTAAACTCTTCAATGAGACTCTTTGTAATCTAAGTCGAATTATTTAACAAGTTGTTAGAATGATTTTGTTTATAGTACTACTTTCCAGGCTTGTGTTTCTCTCATTGGTTTCCTTGTTTACTGTCAGATTGCCAGAAAAGCTTAAATCGATTAGGATTCCCAGGAAACCCCTTTGTCTCCCCTTCTGGTAACAGTGGTAACAATATAAGCACTGTGCATGCTAAGTTAGTTACCGTTTAACCCGTTTTAATCATTCTGTTGCTTGGCATTTGAATTGAGTTCTTGCGTCCATCTTCTTCTCGTGTTTTGTTTTGAATCTTGTTTCAAGTTGGGATGAATTATGTGATCCAGAGTTACCTCCCTTGTATTTGAAACCTGGCTTGTTTTGATTGGACAAAAGTGCAACATGACTTGGATGGTTTGTGAATTGCATCAATGTTTGTTTTTTTAATGTGAAATGCAGAATATGTAAAATTTTCTCTCACATTTGAATGGCAAAAAATTGTAATCTCTGATCTAATTACTAATAATAGCATATTTAGTTATATAATATGGTGTAAAGATGTAGAATAACATATATGTATCTATAAATAACATATCTTATATCTCAATGGCATACAAATAAAATAATGGCCTTGTAGAATATTAACCCAAAGTATGGAACATCAGCACCAGAGAATAATCATTTATTACGCCAAAACACATACCACAATTATAATTGTTTTTGCTAAGTGCACAAGAGTGGTTAATGCCTTTGTACAAGGGACCGATGGCACAGTAGTTAGAGTGCTCATCATGGGTTTGAATCCTTTGTACCTGGTTTGTCAGCGCCATACCTTGTGGTCACTTACTCAGTGTTCGGAGCCTGGATCTTCTCAGATGTTGCTAAATAATTTTGAAGTTGGTGACATTTTCCAACTCAGGATCAGTGTAGAGCATAAAAATAATAGTAGGGATGGCTCACTTGCTAAAGCTCATGCTAATTAAGGCATAAGGCATGGGTTTGTGTCCCAACATGAGTACAATGTATAAAATGCATTTCTGGTGTCTTGTTTGAATATTGCAAGGATCAGCCAAAATAACAGCAATACACACTGTCATGTATCTGAAGTGCATAGAGGCTGGAGCGCCCCATCTCTCCTCACATAGAGGCCTGCATGTTCTTCCCCTATAGCTCTGCAGCTTGAGGTTGATGCGGCCTGCAGGAGTGTAAACACATCTGCTTACCTCAGCCTTTCCACCTCTCTTCTCCAGGGGATAGCAATGCAACCTGTTTGTTGGGTTAACTTTGGTCTTGCGAAACCAAGTGGGATGTTCCAAATTTGCTTGTAGATGAAATTCTGCATGCATTTATGGTTTGGTTCTTATTGAATCCTGTCAGCCTCATGATATTCTCTAAGTTTAGATGTTTAACCCACACTGAAGAGTGTCAGTTGAAGCTTCAGGGCTCTTAGAGGTTTTAGTTGAGGATAATAGATTAATAGATATACATTCAAAGTTAGTATAAAATGTAAAGAATATCTTTCCTCTGTGATTACCTGAACAGTTCGGACAGGTCGACTGACAGGGAGGAGTATATACTTCATGACCCAGTTGTCCACGTCGGAGCAGGTCAGTGTGGAAGAGTGGCCTCCCTGGAGTGTGCCACAACTCCAATATCATGGGTTCAAGTTACAAATTAGCCCTGCTCTTGGATTTCACTAAAGTCATAAGTGTCTGAAATCTGCACCACTTTTCTTCTATGACAAGCTGATATTCTGTAAAAATACAAAAGTGGGCAAAATTGCTCATTTTTAAGAATAATGTATAAAAAATCTTTTTAAAGGGGGTTGTGTCTTTTACCAAATCTTGGTAACCTGTTTAACAATAATGATAATGAAAATAGCAACAACATGACAGCAATTAAACAAGTAATAATCGGAATAGAAAGCACTTGATGCCATACACAGTGTATAATGGAGGCACTTCTGTATTCTTACCCCAGCCGGTGGAGCAGTGTGAACTGGGTATTTCCTTCTCAGCTGAATGGCATATTCCTGATCCCCTAGTTAGATGTAGTACAGTTCCATGTCTAGTTTACACACTTAAACATTACCCTCCCTTGACTATACAAACCATTGTACCTCTAGTACAGACTTATATGCATCTTATCACTGACAATGCCATGGCTTCACTGACATGGTCCCTGGACGAAGGTTCATTTTAACATTTACAAAATTAAAGTATTTGCTGTATCAGTACTTTCTGGTGTGGTGATCATATTTAAATGAATGAATTATCTGCTCTCTGAATTCCACTAGTTTGTGTACATTGTTCGCTGGAAGGAGAAATACTTGGGTTATTGTAGCATTACATAGATTATCTCCCCTTGTGGCCATGAAGGTCAATGTTTGTGCATGGCTATGTATATAAACAGTATAACATGCATGATGAGTAACAGGTAGAATAAAGTATGGGAAAATACCAAACTGTGATGATGAATGGTGTTGACCTCAAATAGCTTGGGCTGGTCTATGCACAGTTGCTCGATCAGGTATATGGGAATCTGCTGACTTAGGTTTGGATAGCAGATCAACATTGACTGTATTGTTTGGTCCAGTACCACCTTCTGTGGTAAATGATCACAGACAGCTCCAGCCAAGCTTCCGTCACTCACTTTATGACTTCCATACATATATGTATAAACACTGTTCTCTGTCTTGTGACGAGAGGATTAGATGGTGGCTGACATGTTCCCAATCTGGCTAGGTCATCGTAACCTTACAAACTGGCTGGTATATTACACCTTGGCATGATATGTCCATGGTATCGCTTGCTAGTGTAAATACCCTCACTCACCCAGTGTAGTGCCTAACTTGATAATCATGATAGTGTTGCCATGAGACGTAACTTGATGCTAGTGTTGCCATGAGACGTAACTTGATGCTAGTGTTGCCATGAGACATAACTTGATGCTAGTGTTGCCATGAGACGTAACTTGATGCAAGATGACATAATGTGAGTTTTTGTGCTAGCTCATGTCTTCATGCTGAAGTGGTTTGTTATGTGCTTTTATTCATTGTTGAAGCTATATATGATTCTGTTGCGTATGAAAAACAATTAAGTGGACAGGTTGCTTTAAATATATATACACCAGCTGGTCATTATTAGTCATTTTTACACGTACATGTCTTCAAGTAATAATTCATCATAATGTAATATACTGAAACATGTTAATGCTGGTGTTTACGTAATAATATATATCATGAAATCATAAGGTCACTAATATTCAAGTGTAATAAAAAGTTAACAATCCTTCATAATATTCAATGAGGTAAACCACTGATTTGGATAAGACTTATATGACTGATTGGTGCCTTGTTTCCCCAGCTGCAAACCCATTCGGAGGAAGTACAGGTACGACACCAACAGCAGGTGCACCGGCCCCAGCGCAGCCCAACCCCTTTGGAGGAGCAGGACAGGGGTTCCAGCAGCAGCAGCCGGTCGGCTTCGGTCAGTTCGGTGGTCAGCCTACTGCACAGCCTGCTGGGGCAGGGTTTGGACAATTTGGTATGCAGAATGGAAGTGGTGCGTTTGGAACGACAACAGGAGGATTCCCCGGTTTTACACAGTCTGCTCCGGCTGGAGCCAACCCAGGCTTCGGGGCTCAACCTCAGACAGGATTTACAGCTGCACAGCAGGGATTCCCCACCCAGCCCCAGGGATTTACAGGAGGGTGGGGACAGCCCCCTCAACAACCAGCAGGAAACCCTTTCATGGTGAGCTCTTACCCCCCAATGCCATCTCCAGGACTCATGGCAACTCAAATGCAGAACCCCCATTCAACTCAAATGCCAACCCCCTATCAAGTTCAAATGCCAACCCCCCATTCAGGTCAAATGCTGGCCCCTGGGGGTCAGTTTCAGCCCCACTCTAACATGGGTTGAGAATCTTTTACTAACCGACTGATGTGTTCTGTCTGTATCCCACACCTGTGCAATATAGACGATGGTACTGACATTCTTCAGGGAAGATACGAGATGGTGGCTTTGAGTCAGCTGGGCTGAACTATGTGATACAACTTTCCTGTCCTATGTTGTACCATGTCTATGAGACTTTAGATGTTCAGTATTATCAGTCTGTGGCATTCGTGTTCATCTGAATCATTCATAATTAGGACTATTTTGAACTTAGTTTTAATTGAAAATATCAGTAGAGATGAAGAGTATATTTAGCTTTGTATAAGAATGGTAGGATCACTTCATTGAAATTGATACTGATCCAGAAGCTAGTCCCATGGCAAGTCTCCTCAAGTGATGGCATTATTGCCTGCTACGGCATAAAGTAGGACCATTAACCTTCTGATGTCAAAGTTAGACATCTGTTTTTTCTTATTCTGACTTTCTTCCTATCATCACTCCAACCTGATCTGCCGTCACTGAGGTCACTCTGTGCTACTGTTGTCTTCTTGCTCTCATGTAACCCATGGCCATGTACAGCTGTGCTGACACAGCTCGTGGGGCTCTGTATCTGTGTGTTGTGTATAATACTGTTTGTATCACTGGTGTATCGAGTGTATTGCTGAGTTTGTTGTGTGACAATGTGTGTAATACTGTTTGTATCACTGGTGTATCATGTGCTATGCTGTATATATCACGAGTGTGATACTGTGCGTATCCAATGTTTAAACGTGTGATACTGTGCGTTTCAAATGTATAAATGTGTGATACTGTGTGATTGTGTGGCAGTATTTAGTATTAATGTTGTTCAGCTGATCCATGACGTCGCTGCATGACGTCGCTCCATGACGTCACTCCCAGCATCATGTAGATGTTTCCTCAATCATGAGGGACTGTGGCGGTTATATATCTTCTATATCTACTATAAACAACCACATGGCCCTCGGCCACGTGATGATAATCCAGGCTACTGTGGACTCACATGGGACAGCTTCAAACATGGACAGGGGCGGTAGGGTAGCCGATTTGTTAAGTATTCGCTCGTTACGACGAAGACCTGCGTTCAATTCCCAACATGGGTACAATGTGTGAAGCCCATTTCTGGTGTCCCCCGCCATGATGTTGCTGGAATATTGCTAAAAGCGGCATAAAACCATACTCACTCACTCACTCACTCACTCAAACATGGACACTCTAGATCTCCTTCCGAGGCAAATCAGCTGGAACTATTACAACTAGAATTGGCAGAGAAAGTTTTAAAGCCCTGGGGTAGGGGTATTGAGACTTCTGGCATTAAGCCAACAATGCATGTGTTATGTGTTTTGTAAATAAATTATTGTCTTTTTGTTTTGGTTATTGTTCTTGAGTATGAGATTTCTGTGTTGGTCTTGTTTTTGTCATGTTGGTGATATTCACATTATGTTTAATTGCTATGTGATAGTGTCATGTTACACATTGGGACAGGGTTTTACATTTCAGTATCCAGTGTTCATTAAACACACTTAATCTGCTATAAAGCATAATTCTTCTGCACATCAATTTAATTTTCCAATATCACTTCTTCACTTCCTGCTTCTATCCTGTATTATGTTAGGATAAACAAAGGGGTAGGTTTAACATGCAGTTGAAATTATAATAAATAGGTCACAGAACTGTCAATTAAACAGCCCTCAACTCATAAGTCCATTTGAATCTAATAAAAGTGACCTTTTCTAAATTCCTTATTTCATAATAGTTTCTGGGACAGTTGGGTAGCCTTGTGGTTAAATCATTCACTCGTCACTCTGAAGACCTGGGTTCGATTGGGTACAATGTGTGAAGCCCATTTCTGGTGTCCCCCACCTTGATATTGCTGGAATACTGCTAAACGCGGTGTAAAATTCACTCACTCACTTATAATAGGTTCTAAAAATGTATTGTAAAACATGACAAAGACATCTTCTCCTATACAATGCAGATACTCTGTGCAAACTAATTGAATAGGAAAGATATTTCTCTCAGGTATTTCAACTTCAAAGTCATCAAGGTAAATTTGTTCTTGTCACTACAGTGGTATTATGACCATCATTTTCCTGCAGTGTTTTCACTTATTATTGGATTATATAGACATAGATGTTCAACTGGATTAAACAATACATATGTCTATCCAGTTTGTTTTTACATATATTTTACAGCTGTTACACACTGTGCAAAACATAAGCATAACAAACACATATCCCATATCTGAATACACATACAGGTCATATTATACTATCTGATGAATAACAGCTCATGTGTGCCCCATCCCTGATAATATAGCAGTGGTATCACCTGCAGTGTATCCGATAAGGCCACAAGAAACAAACTGTTAGATTTTCCACTTGCTTTAAGAATGTGAGGCTTTATATTTTTCCATCTCAGAGCCTGTATGTGTATTAACTATCAGCCAGTGTCTGCTACACCAAGTGTGACTGGTAGGCTTGTGTATGCAACCAGTACATTTGGCAACCGTGAGTGTGTTACTGCATCTGGGGTTACTTAGGGACAGTCAGATGGTTTGAGGTTTGATACTGAGGCCAGTAGGGAAACAAATCTCATCATATTGGCTTAGAACTAACACTTTAATGTAAATTTGATTGTTTAGAAAATTGTGACTATGCTAGAACAAAACTTCATCTTGAGAATCACCCAATAAATAAATATGGGTAAGTTTAAGATGATGATGTGTAGATTACTAATGTTACCTTAAGTCTGGATATGCGTGATGGGGTAGCCTAGTGGTTAAAGTGGTCGCTCGTCACGACGATGACCTGGGTTTGATTCCCCACATGAGTACAATGTGTGAAGCCCATTTCTGGTGTCCCCCGCCGTGATTTTACCGGAATAACGCTACAAGCTGCGCAAAACACTACACACTCACACAAGTCTGGATATAGATTTGAGGATTATGTGCCCAGTGTCAGAAAGTGATTCCTGCAGAATACCCCTGTATGGTTGCCATGATCCACATCAGGAAATAACTATAGTCATATTGCCACACTGCTAGGTGGCTCAGTCTCGCCAGCAATCATCTTTGGGTCATTGAGACACTAACCTATCACCAGGTCTCACACTGGGGTACCGATAGCCCCGTCAAAAGTTGAGCCCCGTCAAAAGTTTAAGCAGACTGTTACTGCCCAGTCGCATTTGAGTTAATAATGCATTGTACCACTTGTCCCAATCTGACACAGATTCAGTTTGTGATGTTTGTTTTTGTCATAAACATCATTATCATGCCCGGTGTTAATAATGCATAAACATCATTATCATGCCCAGTGTTAATAATGCATTAAACAGAAAGATGTAAAGAATGCATTCCCATATTCCATATATTTTTATGTTTTGATATACTGTGATTATGGAAAAATATGTGATCACATTGCTGCTGAACATATAGAGCAAGTATACTTGTTTCTTTGGTTGAAGTGAACTTGGTGACATACAGCACCTTTACTTCAAATAGCCCATTTCTGGTGTCCCCCGCCGTGATATTGCTGGAATATTGCTAAAAATGGCATAAAACCATACTTTAGTTAAACTGGTAGGTATTTTAGTTCAAACAACAAACACCCCCAATACTGAAAGTGGGACCGACCCACTCAGCTTACACCCCCTATTTTTGCAATAAACGTGGCCCTAATTTTCACCCTTCTTGCTCTAAATGAGAGTGGTCCAACTTCTCCCTCCTCTACAAATATGTATGTCAATGTAAACATGGGAGAGTTCACTCTTGGGGACATTTAGGCCAAGACATGATGTCAGTGGAACAGTCCATTTTGTGAATCGTAGCATATATTAATCGATAATCACTCAAAAACATACATTTCCCATAATCAGTGAATTTCTTTCTAACTCAATGCATTTATCATTCTGATTGATGAATATATTTTTATAATTTATACAATAACAAAATGTTTGCACATGTATAGTTGATATCTTCATGCCCCCGATATCTGGACATACCCTAGTGAGATAACACTATAGGCTGTGATCTATTGTCTGTTGTATACCGGTTGATAACAAGCTTAATCACACTTCATGTTTTGACAGTTTCATTTCGGTAGATATGTCTTAAAGACATTCATTGTATGATCCATTACATCAACTGATCTGGCAATATTGATTAATAATAGTAACTGTGCAGCCCTATCGTAATCTGCCCATGCTTTAGGTGCTTGTGTCGTTCCTATCCTGGTGTAAACCTGAAGTAGGTATTACTGTAATTGCCCTGTTGACTCAGGTCTATATGCTGTTTACTCAGCCAAGCCGTCCTTATATATTGAGCACTAGAAAGGAAGTGAAGATGGTTTTGTATCTTTATACAAAATAGGATATGTATTTTTTACAACTTTTATATAAAAATATTGTTTTTGATTTGTAATATGAAAATATTCTCTTTACAAAAGACTTCTTGCAAATTTACCTAAATTCTGAATTCTATATGTTACTAAGAAGGTGTAATCACAAATCTAACATATGTAACCTAGATTCATCCCTGACAATTCGATGATAATGTTTCACATAGTGCTAGAAGTCCTGTGTGGGTGAGGGTCAGTAAAATTTGTGAAACAGGGGAAAATTATGGCCTCATTCTATCAAACATTTTATGCACTGGGACTATCATAAGTCTTATGTCATTTGGGGGCGGTTGGATAGCCTAGTGGTTAAAGCATTCGCTCGTCATGCCGAAGATCAGGGTTAGATTCCCCACATGGGCACAAAGTGTGAAGCCCATTTCTGGTGTCCCCCTCTGTGATATTGCTGGAATATTGCTAAAAGTGGCGTAAAACCCAATTCACACACTCACTCACTCACTCACTTATGCCATTTCATCATGTTAGTGCTGTGGTGGGGTAGCCTAATGGTTAAAGTGTTGGCTCGTCACGCCGAAGGCCCTGATTCGATTCCCCTATGGTACAATGTGTGAAGCCCATTTCTGGTGTCCCCCTCTGTGATATTGTTGGAATATTGCTGAAAGTGGCGTAAAACCCAATTCACTCACTCACTCACTCACTCACTCACTCACTCACTCACTCAGTCAGTCAGTTAGTGCTAAGCTCACTCACTCACTCACTCACTCATAAATCTATGCCTCAGTCATTATGAGTCATTGGAGTAAGTAGAATGGGGTAGGAATGAGCAATCGGATGCACGGATCTCAAGACAGAACGTATGGAAGACGTGTGTGTGAAGGTTGCGTCCTTCTGTAAGTTTGTCTTGAATGTGTCTTCTATGTATCAGTATTTATTTCATGCACATGTTTATCAGACTTTAATGATATGTACTAACAATTATCCTTCTTCTTTCAGAATGCGTTATCCCAACAGCAAGTTCCGCCAAGGGGAAGCTCAACCAATCCTTTCTTGTGATGTGACACGGGACAGCTTCTCTGTCGCCACGTTAACCAGAAGCTCCTGTATTCTTACATGCAACACAGATACAGCATGTGCTGTTTCCATAGGGATGGTTGCCTTGGATGACGGTCATGTTACCAGTTCTGATAGTTACCATGGCAACAGCAAACTGACAGCTGTAGATCCAGCACTTGGTTGTAACAATTTTGTTGTGTGTTACCATGGTAGTGGTTCCATTCCAAGGGGATATATTCAAGTATGATCTGTGACAGTATGATTCTTGTGATATTGTCACCATGTTGTCATGGCGACAGTAGCAGATGACTTTGGTATCGGCCAATAGATGTGTGATCTCTTTATGGTGCGATTTTACCAAGTGACGATATTTTAGTTTCATTGTGTATCAGTCATCCTAGATCACATGACTGGAATACAGAGGTCATGTGACTTTCTCTACTGCACTTGCTTTAGCTTCCTAGCACAGTGAGATGTGTAACGTCATCGGGCAGTGCGTTGAGTAGACAGTGTGTCAAGATGGCCTGTCAGGTCATCACCATCGAACTCAATTATCGCTGTGGATATTCCATTTCAGCATATTACTGTTTTTCACTATGTTGCTTATTCTCAAAGCTAGTTGCTGCCAACGTTGTCATTCTTGGCTACACCAGCAACTCAACCCATAATGCACCATGTATGCACAGACTCAGTATTCCAAGGCAATGGGTCGCCCACATCGTATATTTATCACACAGATATATTGTGATACATTTGTTTATGTTATCAACTAGGAGATGAATATTTAGAGGTTTAACTATGTCAAGGTCGGTGCAAGGTCATGGTTGACCCCATGGTGACCTTGTATAGTTAAAGGAATCTCCATTACATGTATATCAGTTTCTCTATACAGGAAGGTGTCATGGTAACAGGGAGAGGAACATATGGTCATATATTGTTGATCCTCGTTACAGCCAATAGGACAATATATAGCCTTATTTTCCAGCCAATATTTGTAACACTGTGGCCATGACACCCTGATACCATTCAGCAAGGCAAGTTAGAGCTGTTGTCTTATGGTGTTATAATCTTAGCGTTATAGCTCATGTGTTGGCCATAGGACACAGACTTCTACTGAGTTTGTCAAAAACCATCTCTGACATGCCAAAGAATGCATATTCAAACTGAACTGAAGGGCCTTCACTCCCTTTGCATGTAGTTTTGGAAGAGAATGTGTCCTGATTTGATAAGTAGTCAAAACATTTGAAAGAAGTTGGTAAGCAACACAATGTTCAATCTAGAGAAGCAAATTGACTTATTGAAAATTTAGCTCAGTTGAATCAGCTATCTCATGAATGTTCTTGAGTAGAGGATACGGCAATTAAATAGATGGCTCGTCAAGTTTCCTTCATAAAGGAGGGCTGCTCTTTTATGACATGTCAGCCCATGTCCAATGAGAATTGGAGACAAAAGGATAAACATTGTGTATCAAACAGCAGATGATTTACTTCCATTTGTGCAGTAAATGGCTGTAGTACAGCAACGGCCTTCAAACATCCCTTGCATTGTAACCTCCATGTGACCTGAGAGTGTAGGAAGTCATCTGTGGGATAGCGCTTGTTTGAAATTAAGGGAAATATTTCATCAGTAAATAAATGTTGCCAGTTTTGAGGGAAACATTTTATCCATTTTATGATAATTTATGTGGTGAAATACAATTAATTATTTTTTATGTCAAACTGTTTGCTTGATGAAAAATTTCCCAGAATATCTCTCTAGTAACATGTGAACATAAGCAATAACATGCATACTAGCCCCTTTTTTTCATTTGGACGAATTAGGTTTAGGTGATAAGGATGTTGGAGATATCCTAGAAATGGTTGAGTGCTGTCAACACAAACCACCTGCTGGTGGCAGGCAAGAGACAGCAGCATGAGAAGCAGTTGTATGACCAGTGTTATCCCTGTGTTTACTGTCTTCACACAGACAGGTGTTATTGATATTATACCCTGTTATACATGTTTTTGTACAGCCAATCTGGGCGATATTATTGCCATCAGCAGCTATACAGATATAGCCTCATTTATGACAGGAGAGCACATGCAGGCATGCTTATATTCCAGTATATCAGTGAGACTGGGTAACTTGTTCTGGCAAACTGGGGGAGTTGTTGCACAGAGTTGTATACCTTTGTCATTCCAGGATCCGATAATCATGGGTTTGAATTTAAGCTTAGTCCTGATTATGAGCCTTGGTTTGTCATCACCATTAGCAAAAAATTAAACAGCCTTCATATTTAGACAACAATAATGTGCTGTTTTTACTTAGTTCACTTTCACAAGACTAAAATGATGGCCAAAATATTGGTGAGAATAAAGACTGATTCTATTTCTGTCTAACAGTTGTTAAACCTTCTCGTGTATCACCAGCTATAGTGAAAGCATGACAAAGTGGGTGAGACCTTGTGTGTTGGCTGATTGCGTGACATCCCTGTCCGGGAGAGTATTGATTGGTCACAACTATCACTGACTCACTCAGTAAAATCAGTTATGAGATTGACGTCCAGCCACCATCTCCTGACTTGCTGTGCAACATGGCATGTCATTTCATATTACCGAAAAGATGTGCAGCAAAGCATGTCATGCTGCATGTGACTGAAATACTGTGCAACATGGCCTGTCATGCTGCATGTGACTGAAATACTGTGCAACATGGCATGTCATGCTGCATGTGATTCAAATACTGTGTAACATGGCATGTCATGGTGCATGAAATACTGTGATGCTGCATTTGACTGAAATACTGTGCAACATGGCATGTCATGCTGCATGTGATTCAAATACTGTGTAACATGGCATGTCATGCTGCTGCATAACATGGATGTCATGCTGCATATGACTCAAATACTGTGTAACATGGCATGTCATGCTGCATTTGATTCAAATACTGTGCAACATGGCATGTCATGCTGCATTTGATTGAAATACTGTGCAACATGGCATGTCATGCTGCATGTGACTGAAATACTGTGCAACATGGCATGTCATGCTGCATGTGATTGAAATACTGTGTAACATGGCATGTCATGCTGCATTTGATTGAAATACTGTGCAACATGGCATGTCATGCTGCATGTGATTCAAATACTGTGTAACATGGCATGTCATGCTGCATGTGACTGAAATACTGTGCAACATGGCATGTCATGCTGCATTTGGCTGAAATACTGTGCAACATGGCATGTCATGCTGCATGTGACTGAAATACTGTGCAGCAAAGCATGTCATGCTGCATGTGACTGAAATACTGTGCAACATGGCCTGTCATGCTGCATGTGACTGAAATACTGTGCAACATGGCATGTCATGCTGCATGTGATTCAAATACTGTGTAACATGGCATGTCATGCTGCATGTGACTGAAATACTGTGTAACATGGCATGTCATGGTGCATGTGACTGAAATACTGTGTAACATGGTGTGTCATGCTGCATGTGACTGAAATACTGTGCAACCACGTGTCATGGCATTCAACTCAAGCCTATTCAAGCATTCCAATGTCCCAGGATAAGCATGGCTTCCACCTCCATCTCCCCAACATTACCCTAGTGTAGAGGTTGAACGAATATATTACCCCACACCCTTGCATGATCCCATTATTATCTGTTTTATGTTATCACTTTCAGTATTTTGTAGTACAAGAGCAAGTTATGTGTGCAAATTATTCTCTGTGACAAGTCCCAGACAGAAAACATACTGTTCCACTGTTGATAGGGATGTTGAATATTTCCATGCTACACAAACATGATTCTCACAGTATGGCTTATCTCATAATCTCTTCAAAAGTTGAATTGTATATTTATAAAAATGGAAATGTGATTTGAGCCAGTGTGGTGTAGTCTACTAACTTCCTCCATCATCACCAAGTCCTGTTGTAAGATAATATACCGACTGCAGCTACAGGCAACACTGCTTGTGATGATATAATATATATACCCCAGCTGGGATATACCTGGGCCAGCTCAGAGGCTCATACCTGGGCCAGCTCAGAGGCTCATCACAGGTGCAGTAACCTAGGCCTATAACAAACAAGGTTATTACGAACCGGTGGCTATAACTAAGTATTCTTTTTTGTCCTGGTCACTTGTATGTTTTAGTTTGCAACGAAGTATTGCCAAATCAGGCAAAAATTAGTGGGCCCGTTGATTTTGGCATAACTGTTGTATACCGTATGCATCAAATTTCAATACAAATTCCTGAATTGGAAATGTAAATTGGCCACTTTGTGTTATCTTGTCATAAAATAATACATTGATGGCTCTTGCTGACTTGTATTGCATTGATAGCAGAGAGTCAACAGGATGAGGACACCTTCACTCACTCACTCACTCACTCTTGTGGAAGAGTATGGATGGTCTTATACTTCTAGCAATATTCCAGCCATATCCCAACAGCTGACACATCGTGCCTATGTGGGGAACAAACCCTTCAGTGCAGGAAATGAGTGCATTACCCACTGGCTCCACCCACCTCCCTGTCCTGGTAAAGACTTGTCAGGGAAGAGTTTCTGTAACTTGTTATTGGGTACACATTTTATTACAGCTTACCAAGGTTTTCTGTGTTGTCATTGTCAGTACTTCCCAGGCTTGTACACACTAGGCTCCTCCGTCACTGGGAATACATGTAGCGAGTATTCCATAGTGACAAGTCCAGACTCAAGACATGACATGTGCAATAACATTGTGTCTACCTTAGACTGAAGCAGTAGGTGGAGCTGATGGCCCCAAGGTCACAGAGCATGAGAAATATTGACGTGTGTGATGTATCTGATCAGCCATTGTCAGAGCGCCACTGGTTGCCCTCTTGCTGGCATCGGGACGCTGATTGGCTGACTGGTTAAATAAGTGTCCTACACTGCAATCTGGCCATATGTTTGTACAGAGGATTAAGGAACCTAGTGCGTGCATACTGATGAAGTTCTGCCGATGCAGTGTTTTGTGAAGGAAGTCATTGTGAGCATTATACTGCCCCCTTGTTTCTTGGGCTTTGTTACTCTGTACCTCATATGTTTATAGTTTGATGGCAACTGCATGTGCATGATATTTAAGTTGACATGGTAACCATATTTGCTGTATTCTGTGCAAGGTATTCCAAAGAAGTGGCAAGGATGGTCACTTATTGAACACTTCGTCAAGCTGGGATAAGCATCAACATGATGCCAAATGGCTATCCAGATAATCTGTTTGATGCTACTAATATGACACAAGCCACGTGGTACACGACTTATTCTTAGGGTATAAATCTCAATATTCTCATGGAAACAAATAAGGGAACACATTAAAGTACAAGTGTTCCTTTATACTTTTCCAGGTTTCTTCACACGGTATGCATTGCATTGTGGGTATAATTCAGAGAATAAATAAAGGAACACTTGTACCTTAATGTGTTCCCTTATTTGTTTCTATGAGTATACAAATAGAAAGAAAGAAGTAAAAATAATTCAGCTGGCATATTATGGATAAATGATTATTTGCACCAATCATAATATCACACTAAAACAATTACTAGAACTTTAAAAGATTGTATTATTATTTTATGGTGTCTGACAACCCTTTCAGTGATATCCATGGGGACTTGCATTGCCACAACTAGAATTTTTACTTTTTTAAAACATTTTTTCTGTCTCTTCTCTCCCGCCTCCTCCTCTCCCTCTTGCGAGTCTCTTTATCAAAGTGTGTATTGAACATGTATATAAGCAGACAACAAGTGACTGCCACATATACTACGAAATAATAGTTGAAGACACCCATGTGACTATAGTTACTCTGCCATGCTATGACCAATCAGCTGTAGTATTACAGAACATCCGGGTGGATCGTTTCCCCTCTTTGAATGGTATTCATGGAAACCTTTCCAGAGAGATGATGTTTACTTGTTACTCTTTTTAAGGCTTTCATAAATGACATTTCCAACCAAATTTTAAAAAACTTTAAGGCATGTATGTGTAACTGGTATAACTATTACACTATAAACATTACAGTGTGGATTAACATACTTGTATCTGTGAGAATGTTTCTCATCAAATGTACCTTATCATCAACTTACTCATGTTGGGCATGTTTTGGTCGATTCATTGGAGTGACTGGACTTGTGAACACAATGTTTGATATGAAGGTGTGATCTGCCAAATTAGGACATGGGTATGTCATGAATTTGGCAATGAGGTATCTTGCATTTGGTTGGGTGACGTAATCATGTCTCTAGTGACCAATGATTTCCCTACCTTGTTTTGTATCCCAGTAGCTGTATCACAGTAGCTGTATCCCAGTAGCTGTATCCCAGGTTGACAGTTCTGGAGCAGGCTGTCACTTATATATGGTACATGACACTAAATGTAGCACTGAGTATACCGCTGTAGGGACGGAACACCGACTCTCTGGCTCTGATTGATCTTTCATCAAGGATTAGCTATGGTCCGTGTTCTTCAATTACTTTGACTATTTTATGATTACTGAAAACTTACGGGGCATGGAAATTTGATGCTTTATAACTATACCAGCAGAAACGAGTACGTGTCCTGAATTCACCACGCAGCCTCTTACTGTTGAAATGAAACGTAATAAAACCCAAAATGTTTCACCCAGAGAGTACACTTCCATTCATGAATGGATGGGAAGAATCAAAGTATACACAAAGTACTTAATGAAGCACCCCTGTATTTTTGCAATGATAGCTTTTCAACACGCACATAAAACTTCTCGTGACCACGATGGAAAAACAAGTTTTTCTGACCTGAATGATCCTTTCACTCATACAGAACGACAAAATGATTGGAATCCATGTTGATGTTATGATCAGGATTACTCATTTTAAAAATCACTGATTTTCATACAAAACCATGTCTGTACAAGTATGTACCTGGAATGCTTAATGTTGAATTTATTGGTGAATGTGAACGTTCAAAATGTCATTTTGCCTGTTTTGCAATACCGAGTGTAACCTCCATGTGACTGTATGACAGCCCCTGTCAGTCTCCTGATACTCTGAAGCAGCAGTGTGCGTTACACATTGGGCCAGGTTCTGTACAGGAGGATCCCTTTGTTGCACAGACCGACCAATCATGTCCTAGATATGCCCGAAAGGTTTATGATCCGGGCTGATTCAATCGTGAGATATATCAGGGGGTGCTTAACTAAGTTCTTTGTGTATATTTACGGTGTTGTCATGTGAGGGGTTCAGTGTCACATGCTTTCAACGTCAAGGATATATGGCAAGTGGTATTGAAAAAAATCTTTAGTTTTAATTTCCTTTGATTTTTCATGTTTGACAATATTTAAGGAACTGCATTAAGTGCAGTTATTTATTGGCTGATGAATATTGTGGATTTGGCTTGAAGTGT